GGCTTTGGGCATCTTGGCGGCGCCGTGCGGCACGGCTTTATCCGGGCGCTTCGTTTTCCGCCTGTTTGAGCCGAGGGTCTTCTCCCTCTCCGGGCTGTGGGATGAACGCGCTTCGAGCTCCTCGCAGCTCTCCGCCGCCGCTCCTTCCTCCGCTGCTTTTTCACTCACCAGCCCCTGGGCTGCTGGGGAGATGGGAAAAGGAGAAAAAGGGGAGAACGTGGCCTCGACCGGAGCAGGGGGTGGCATTTAAATCGATGGAGTGGGAATGGGACTCCCATAAAAAAAACAGTCTCCCAGAGAGAAGGAAGAGAGACGCGATGGGAGACCCGATCCCAGTTTGAACTGGGAATGTGGAAATGCTGAGCGCATCCCGTTGCCCGTATTTCCAATTAAAAAAAAAAAATGCAGAGAGATCAATAACATTTTCCTGCAGAAAATTCGAGGAGAGGGCTGGGATTTGGGGAAATCCCCCTCAAAACCTGGATCCCCCTGGATTCTTCCTCCCCTTTTCCCATCCTGCTCGCAACCCTTTTGCTTCCCTGCCAAAGACAGGAAAAAAAAAAAGAGCAAGGAAAAAAGGGAGGTGGGGGGAGATGTTCAAGAAGGATTTTTTGTGTTTGCTTACCAAGGGACATCAGCGTTTCGTAGCTCTCCTGCATCACGTCCCGGTACAGAGCCTTCTGCCGCGGGTCCAGCATCACCCACGGCTCCATGGTGGGGAGAGGCACAGGCAGCCGGGAGAACGAGGGTTTCTCCCTCCGTTCCTCGCTCAGGGCTCCTCAAAATCCCCTGTGGGGAAGAGAAATCCTTTGAAATGAAGGAAATCCCCCGCGTAGTGCTTCTTGCTTGGGTTTTGATGCTTTTTCCGGGGGTGCCTTGAGAAATGTTGGGGTTTTTTCTCCCCGGGTTGCAGCCCACGGACAGTCCCTCCGTCCAGGACTAAGCCCGAGCCTCCACGGAGCAGCTTAGGGATGGGGGACAGGAGGGTCCCGGTTTCCCCAGAAAGACCACATCCCACAGCAATCTCTGCCCTCCTCCCTCCAGCATCCCAGTTCCCCCAGTCCTCATCTCACTGGGAATCAGCCTTCCCAGGGTGATGGGGCATTGGGGGACATGTCCCAGGAGCTGGGCTCTGTGCCCCATCCCTTGGGAGCCCTGGATGCGCGCAGGGACCGGGGCTCCCTCTCCATCCTTCTTGCTCTCCCCAAAGGAGCCGCTGCTCCTGGGAACATCCCCAAGGGCCGGATCCTGCAAACTCCAGCCCTGACACGGCTCAGGACCCTGCGCCGGGTTTCTCCCCCTTACCTGGCGTTC